GTCCAAGTGGTCTCACATGCACTATTTATAACATAAATGTATTTGGTTAGATGATTGCTAAAAGATCATTTAAGTCAGCAGAAACAAAATACAATAAACTGAAAGCTTTCAGAGACTTTCTCTAACAAGTGTGCTACTCCGTTATGTCCTATCCATGAAGTCTTCATGTATTTCTTGATTTTCTGGAATGAAGAGTACCAATAACTTAGCTTCCAGGAAAGGAAACAAACTACAACAGTATATGTAAATACAAAGGAAAATAAACTAAAAATCCAAGAGAGGACCAGAGAATCAAAAAGGATGAATTTACCCAAAGAATTTACTTTATTAATAAATATGATGAGGCAGAGTTAAGAGAAGACAATGTTTTATTTGTTTGTTTTCTGTACCAGGGATCAAACTCAAAACCTCATGCTTGCGCTTGAGGCAAGGATGGTGCCACTGAGCCAAATCCCTGGCCCCTAGCCACAGTGTTTCAAACTGGTGCTTTATACATTTATGTATTGTGACTCTAGCACTGCCAAAATCATTTAAATACCACCCCAGGCCATGCATGTACTTGCTGAGTGTGAAGAAGAATACAGATTAGGTAGGTGTAGCCCTTCCACAAGGGGCTCCACAAATGCAAATCACTACCAAAGATGCAAAAATGTCATCCTGGGAATACAGTATGTGGAGAATGCAATGGGGACACCTGAAGCCTTTTTCAGTTCTCCAAGGGTTAATGGAAGACTTTAGACCCTTTCTTTTTCTTCTCGGTACCAGGAATTGAACTCAGTACCTCGTGCTGGCAAGGCAATCGCTGCGCCACTAAGCTAAATCCCCAGCCCTGACACTTTCTAATAGTGTAGATAACTTGGGTGATAAGTAAAAGAAATTGATATGACAAAATGAGACATTTAATATAAACTGTTATTACGAGTTTACAAATAGCAAAAAACAAGAAGAAACACTCAAAAGATACAAATCCCTCTAAAACAAGTAATCAACCAACCAAACAAAACCATAATTGATAATCAGCCCCAAGTTAACTTTAAATAACTGGGGGAACTGGAGTCTACCTACACCAATTTAAAAGGAAACAAAACAAAATCCATCCAAACATTCCACATTAGTACTGGAAGAGTAATTTCTGCCCAAGGAGGAGGCATTGGAGCCACAGTCTTGAACCAGAAGCTGTGTGTGTGCTGCCTTCACAACCCTGGTGGGGCTGGAGCAAGAGCGTGCAACCTTCGACACTGGCTCGACTGTCACAACACCTTTCCTCCATTCCCCTACAGCACAGCTCAAACAAAGCTGGAGCAACAAAATGCTTTGAGTAAAAAGGCCCAGAGGCCTAATGAAGGACAAAATGAACAAAGACTATTATGAATATACCAAATACAAGTTATCAGACACCACTTATTTATCTTCAGTTTATAATCCAGATCTTTAGCCACCATCTTAGAGATGTGGAAAGTGACATCAGGAGATGGAGCTATCACACTCACTACCAAACCCCACGACCAAATTTCTGGGTTTTGGTTTCCGGCTAAGACCTGCCTCTTTCCAGACTGACTGAAATCAGAGCTATTCAACCCTTCCAGTTTTTGTCTTCATTCATTCAAATGTCAAAACATACACATATCAAAACCAATAGGCCCCAATAAGCCTCTCACTATGTAGTTCAGGCTGGTCTTTCATTTGCAAGCCCTCTGCCTCAGTTTCTTGAGTGCATATGGATTATAGGCATATGCCGCAATACCCAGCAAAAAAATTCAGAACAATTTTTAGAACTACAAACAATATTTTAAGAAAGTATTCACAAAAATAAACACTTAAAAAGCATAGGAGTAGCCCTTATTTGAACTTACAAAATGAATATTAGGCGCTCAACTAGTAGTAGTCTATGAAATTATTTATGTGCATATGAAATAGCTGAAATAATAAACTAGCTTCAGATACTATCACCTTAAAAATAACTTCTAATTTCAGGAAACAACTACTTTACAGATGAAAATATATATAGCAGGACCTCAGAGAGATTCAATTATTACAACCTTAAAACTTTAGGGCTCTTCTAAGAAATGGCTCTAGCAATTCTCCAAATAATACCTACTTAAATGAACTCTCACTAAATCCACTTATAAATTATTTTCCTTTGGCCGCCTCATTATTCAATATGCTTTCAAGGAACGTGGTGATGAAAGAAGAAAATACCTCTTTCTAACAGTCACACTGGCAAGAACAGCAACATTATCAGTATTCAAAGAATGTCTTGGCAGGTTAACCCTTCATAAAAAGAAGGAACACTATCTAATCCAAGTTATCAAAATAGCAATAGTACTCATATTATATGCAATATGACTGTTTCTTATGCAGAAAAAATAAAGATCAATATTGCTGTATTTCGATTTTAAACAAGGACAAAAAATTCTTCACAAAAGCACTTAAAGAATAATGAAAGTAAACATGTTTAAAAGAAAAAGGCTAACAGCCAAATAGGATTCAGTACTCAAAGAGATTTACAATTACATGTCAATGTTGTGCTAGAAGGTTTAACAATATATTTTAATTTTTTTAGGCACAACCGGATATTAAGAAAATTTAAAAATAATAACCCATACTAGCAGACAAAAGCTTAAAGACAAAGCTTGTTCTATTTCAATACATTATCTCCTCGAGTAATAATTAACATTTAATATTACTGTAAGTCCAATCTTAAATTAATGTCATGGTGTAACATTCTCAGTCTACTCTCCAGGATTTAAGCTGAATCTGGAATTATTGAAGGCCATGAAGGGACTTGGAGTTGCTCAGCGTAAGTTCAGATATAGTGTCCTCCGAAAATAAAATACTGTATATTACAGAAGACTGCTTTTCACCTTACATCGATAGTGTTACACTGGTTGGGAAAATGACAAACTTTAAAGAAGACATATATGTGATCCTGGATGTGAGGGAGGTCTGGCTGCAACATCTGTCACCCCACTGATCGCCAGGGCTGATTCGGCTGATCTAGACAGGCAGGTGGGCCCTTCCTCCCTCACTGTTCCATGTGTGGCCCTCCCGAAGCTGCGTGCTGGGTGGAAGAGGACAACCACGCCCCTATGGATCTCCTTACGTTATCTCAATTACTTCTGATATACTCATTCTCATTATAAGAGTCAATAATTCTGTTTTTGTCTGTTATATTTTCCCTTATTCAAAACGTTTTCTTCAGTTGTACTCAATTTTCTTTTACAAATACATGATTCCTGTTTCTCTTCATATTTCGCCTTTGGGATCTGTTTTCCCTTCCTGATTATTATTTTCTCCTGACCCTGGTCTTGACTTGGGGATACTGAACTACAAGAAGTCAAGGGTTATTTATATAAGCAGGATGAGCCTCCATCCATCAGCATCCTGAGGAATCAGCATGGTAGAGCTGCCAAAAGGAACAGGTGGATGACTCAAATTTTTCCTTTCTTCTTTAAGAGAACCAAAGATTTTTTTTTTTTTTTTGGTACCGGGGATTGAACTCGGGTCCTTGCGCTTGCGAGGCAGGCCACTGAACCACTGAGCTAAATCCCTGGCCCCCAAAGATTTTGATTGTAAACATTTCACCATCGCTTGACAATAGAAGATTTTTTTTTTTTGAGACAGGGTCTTGCTTTATAGTCCAGGCTGGCCTTGAGCTTACTACATATCTCAGGTTGGCCTTGAACCTGCAGAAGTCCTCCTGCCTCAGCCTTCCAAGGGCTGGGATTATAGGTGTGTACCATCATGCTCAGCTAGAAGAATTTTCTTAATAAGTAACACATGGAGTAGAAAGAAAACAATTAAAATAGGTTCTGACCTAAGTACTATAACTTACTAAAGAATATGAAAATTTTCCATATTTTTGATTGCTCTGAGCTTCAAGTTCCTCATACAGAGATAATAGTGTTTAGCTCACAAAGTTATTCTAAGTATTCTGAAATCTGAAAAAAAGGATATAAATTTAATGTAGTATTAAAATGGGAAAACAACAGTACAGTGTAAAGAACCTGTACTCTCCAAGGCATGTGAAGTTTCAAATGTCACCTCAACAACTGTGAAATTCTAAATAAAATGTTAAACCTCTGAGTTCAGTTCAGGGCACAACTACAACACTGACCTAAGGCCTACTTCCCTTGGTTGTTACTGGGAAGACTACAGGAGAGTAATGAATGCCCCTAGTGGTGACCCTGGCATTGCACACAAATAACATGAATCCCTTTCCTTAACAGCCTTGCTCTGAAAAGAGGAAGAAATGAGGTAGAGGGGTCTTGAAATCAACCAAGGTCTTCCAAAGAAAAAGTGTAAAAGGTGAAGAATGTTGCCCAAATTGTGAACTCTTTAAAGGAATAAAACAACCCTCACTCATCTTCCTATTTTCAGAATCTATTATTGCATTTGATGAAAGGCACCACACAAGCATTTCTTGCATAAAAAAGTCCTTTAGGAGAACCACTGATCTTAGATATTAAGAAATACAGGTAAAATCAGACTTTATATAGGTACTACATGATTAATTACCAATGTTCTTTATTAATGAAGATAAAACTAAACAAATGTGGACTAAATTCTTGAAAAAAGGCTGCACAGATTGTCTCTGGGCTGCTGTAACAAAGTATCATAAACTGGGTATCTCATAAACAACCTAAATTTACTTCTCATAGATCTGGAGGCTAGGAAATTCAAGATCAAGGCACCAGCAGACTTGCTGTCTGGTAAGGATTAAATTTCTGGTTCACAAGTGGCACTTTCTCGTGTGTCCTCAGATGGCAGAAGAGAAGGCAGCTCTAAGGGCACTGATGCTGCTCATGAAGACTCTGCTCCTATGATCCAATCACCTCCAAAGGCTCTAGGTCCTAGATCCACCCTGATGATTAGGTTTTCTGCAAATAATCCCGGGGCAGGGGTTTCTAGTCGTCATATCTAACTGATCTGGTTAAAATACATTGTTCCCTTATTATATCATATACCAAAATAAGCTTATCAAATATAATAATGCTCACCTTATTATGCACAAAAACAATCCTTAAGTCGGGTTTAAGGATACCATAGCTCATGAGGAGATCCTGGACCTTTTTGAGTTCATCTTTACATTTTTTAGCAGTTGAATAAAACTGCTTTCTTACAGGCAGATTCTTAAATAATCTTAAAGCAGTTACAGTTGTACCTGTTGGCAGATAAAAGAATATTTAGACTTGGAAGAAATTTTAGAGATCTTCAAATTCACATTCAATCCAGTCAGTAAGGAACCCTTTCTACTAGCACTAAAAAGGAAAGCTCATTTTTACTAACTTATTCTGATCCCCTGCTAGACTCTAACTGTAACCTGTTAAGTATGCAGTCTAAGCCAGAATAATTTTATTTCTACCAGTGCAGAGAAACATGTGCTCACTAGAAGGCAGTATCTTTTTTTTTTTTCTGGTACTAGGGATTAAACCCAGGGCTTCATTCAGACTAGGCAAATATTCTACCACTGAGCTACATTTCCAGCCCTTTTTCTTTTTCTTTTCTTTTTTTTTTTTTATTGAGTTTGTTG